TCCTCAGGCTATCACCCGCAGACCAATGGTCAGACGGAGCGGGCTAACCAACAGCTTGGTCGGTACCTCCGGTGCTTTGTCTCGGCCCAACCCTCGCAATGGCCTAAATATCTCCTCTGGGCAGAGCTGTCCCACAATCTTCACACCTCTTCAACCACTCATACGTCCCCTTTCGAGGTCTGCTTTGGCTACCAGCCCCCGGTCTTCGCCCACCAGGAGCCCAAAGTTGCTGTACCTGCCGCGCAATCCCTAGTGAGGCGCTGCAAGAATGCCTGGATCAAAGCACGAGCTTCCATCACCCGAGCTAACGCCCGTTACGCTCGCCAACATCTCCACCGACACCGTCCTGGTCCCTCCTATGCCCCTGGGATAAGGTCTGGGTGTCCACCGCGGACCTCCGCTTCTGTGCTGGATCCAAGAAGCTCGCTCCCCGGTTCCTCGGGCCTTACACAATACAGAAGGTCATCAACCCAGTCTCGTACTGGCTGCGGTTGCCGGCGACTCTCCGCGTTCATCCCACCTTCCAAATCTCCCGACTCAAGCCCTATGTGGAATCCTCCCTGCTTCCGCCTCCGCCTGCCCGCTTCCTCGACGGTGAGCCCATCTACACCGTCCGACGCGTCCTGGACGCCCGTCGCAGGGGTCGGGGATGGCAGTACCTCATGGACTGGGCGGACTACGGCCCCGAGGAACGCTCCTGGGAACCGGCCCGCTCCATCCTGGACCCTACCCTTATCTCTGACTTATGGGACAGCTGGGGCCGCCCTGGGACTTCAGGAGCCATCCCTGGATGGGGGGGTCCTGTCAAAACCCAAGTCCCCAAACCAGCCTCTCCCAGCTAGCCAACCTCCACCATGGACCACAACTCCCAGCATGCCCCTCGCGGGGATTCCCTCCACGTCGCACCTACGTCACGAACTGCAACTATATACGGAAGTCGCCTCCCCAGCTCACCACTCAGTCATCGTTTCTTCGGATCTATGGTCAGAGTTTCCAAGCAACCGATCCATCTTACAAACTCTCAAACATTGACGCTCGAACGCTCAGGGATTCCTAGATTAAACCGTGAGCCGGCTTTTCACCGACGCTATCACTTCCGCGTCTGTGAGACCACGCTCTCTACAAGCTCAACTCCCGTATCCAGCCGACCAGTCTGACACATTTTGTGTAAAAAAAACTGATTTGTTTAAGAAAATTCACGATGGAAATAAATTTAAAGCTGCACGCCTGCCGGCTCGCTGCTGTCCGCATCTTTAAACCCAACGGCTGAAGCTTCAGCCGGACGAGTCTGTGGACGTTACGAGTGCGTAAACACAAAATGGCTTTTCTCTGTTGAAGTAGAAAAGCTCGCCACCCAAAAAGCACGTCACAGCTCTTGACTTCTCATCCAGTTGTGACCAACGGATCAATGAAGCACAACAGAATCAATAAAAACTCCCCGAGTCAGGGGGTTTGTTCGAAACGACCCTGCGGTGACCTTTTACGTATGACTGAAGGTGAGGCGGTGGTTCAGGAGGGAAGAAAGGGAGGAGGGGGAGGAGGAGAGGTGGGACTCAGTGGCTTTCTCTAAAGCTGGAGCGGCGGTGATCAGTCCTGTCTGGCCAGAAAAGAGCCAATACCTCAGTGGACAGCTCCTGCTGCTCCGGGTCTGCAGCCAGCTACCCCGACACCCATAAAGGTGAGGAGGAGGAGGAGGAGGAGATAAATGAACCTATGTTACAGTCACTGCAGTCTTCTAATACACCGCAGACAATAGGAGCTCCTGCTGAGCCGCAGTATAGAGCGGATAAGTCAAAGGCCCAGGAGATGCAGCAGCAAAGGGTCTTAATTGTCCATTAAGCATGCATAGTCCAGGCCGTGCCCCGGCAACGCCGTGAGGCCTCCTGCTGGGATGTTGTTGTCAGGTCAGAGCTGACGCTGGAAAACAGCTGATGTCGTCGGCAGGACGCCAGCGGGACGCCAGTGTAAGCAGCCAGCTGAGGTTTCTTCTGCTGGACAGCCTTTGACCTCTCTAACCTGAGGTCAACGCCTGGTCAGGTGTTCCAAGCCACACAAAAAGCCTAAAGCAAACAGGCAATCCACGAGTGGGACCCATTTATCCAAAGGTAAAAGAGCAAGCCAAGGCAAACAGTTTGCTTTCCCTTCAAAGGTGGGCTCGTGTTGGAACACGAGGGGGAACAAAGGGCTCAGAAATCACACTTTTACGGGTGTGACTGATGCGCGATGCGTCGTCGTCACGTAGAGCTCGGCTCTGCCGCTCCGGACGGTGTTGTGGACACGTCCGTACCCCCTCCCTGACCCTGGTCTGTCACAGGACCGCTGCCCTTTGTGTCAGGCCTCTCCAGGCTGACTTTGGAGTGGAGATAGCAGGCAGAATGCGGATTGTTCTTCGAGTGTTTTCAAAGATCAGAATAACAATGGCATTTGCTCACTCACTCACCCACAAACTCACTCACTCACGCTCATTGATCACCCATCCTCTCTGTCTGTGCCTCTCTGATCACATCAACTCCACCTTCTCCCGCTTTCACTCCCAGGAAAATCACAATTAATCTCAGCCATCACATAAACCCGTGCGGCGTCTCTTACTTGGGGGGGAAGCGCTGTTTTGGGGGTGATGCGGCGAGCTGTGTGACAGCAGTGGGTTGAGGCCGTGGGGCGGAGCCGTAATGGCGTCCATGGCCAACTTCTGCCTGAAGGCTTCCTCTTTGCGCCGGTTGGCGAACCAGTTGTAGACCCTGACCTCGGTGACCAGGTTAGAGCCGAGGCCCTGGGCTTTGGAGGGGGAGACGCCCCTCTGGAGACACTCGGCCCTGCAGGAAACAGGTGATCACGCAGGGGGGTCAGAACAAAGCGGGTGACAGGTGAGAGGTAGGGTTTCAGAGCCGGTTTACCTGTTGCACTCCTCCACCAGCGTCTCCCGCTCCTCCTTACTGGGATTCTTCTGCCGTTCGTAGGCCTGGTAGAGGATCTGCTGGGACGCAGGCCCCCATTTGAAGCGGTTACGTCTCATTTTCTTGCAGAGGGGTTCGTTGCCCACCTCGTCGCTGACCGGACCCATAACCGCACCTGACGCATTGTATTCTGGGTAAAAAAAGGCTGGGTCGTGACTACTTTTGTCAGACATGCTGCCGGAGGAACCGTGAGCCGCCTGGTTGAACTCTGCAGATGAAAAACACAAAATTCAGGCCATTTTTATTGCTTCTGACGTCAAATTTGACAAAAGCATGAAACGTTTGCATGGTTTGGGCTCCGCCGAGCTGCGAGAAACTCAAATATTAACTCACGTCGAAGAATTTCCCGCTGCTTCCTGACGTACCAGGTGTAGAGCGCCGCTCGCTTCTGGGTTTTCATGGGCGTGCCTTTGTTGAGGTGCTGGGAGAGGTGGGACTGGTTCAGGCCTGTGATGTCCACCACCTCCCGCTGGGGAATGTTGTGCTGCTGCATGTAACCTTTGATCATGCGGGCAGCTCGCCACGGGTCCTCTCTGGGTTCAGACCAAGCAGAGCAGAAAACGCTGCATCATAAACAGGAAGTAAACCTTCACCAGAATAAAGGCTCTGATTTTAGCCTCAAGGTCAGGAAAAATGCGATTTTAGGTGTTTATTTAGAGGATCTATTTCTGCTTCCCTGCAGTTGAAAGGCTTCACGGCGATAATGAGTCGGTTTATCACAGGAGCCCATTCAGGGGGCCGTAAATATTTTCAAAGGTTAGTTCAAGTGGATTCAGGGAGGGTTGAGAAACTTGGACTTAGTATCCAAAAGAGTTTCACCTCCAAACGTCAAAAACAACAATCCACCTGTTTAAACTGGGTTCACTTGTAAATTCACGGTTTGGGGTGTTTTTAAAATCAGCCCGTGACCTATAAACTAAATTATAAATAAAATAAAACAAGTTTAAATTCTAAAGTAAAACAGTTCTTACCTGTAGATTCATCGGGATCTTAAAAATGTTTTTTAATCCAAAAAAGACCCATCAGAGGTCAAAACGCAGGATTCAGAGGAGATCCTCCAGCAGCTGTTTGCTTTGGAGAATGTGGAGGCCTACACGCTAGTGTACGGCTTAAGTGGGAGATGTTAGTTTATAACTTTTGACAATGAATAACCAGATCTCCATTCAGTCTAATCACACGCCACTGTGTATCTTCCAGTTGATGATTTATAGAATTAAATTAATAATAACTGAACTACACGTGGGTTAGTTGTGATTTTAAAATGTTAAGAGATCGTTAGAAATAATAATAATAATAATAATAATAATAATACAAAAAATATACAAAAAATATAATAATAATAATAATACAAAAAATATACAAAAAAATATAATAATATTAATAATAGTGTTGTTTTAATTTTCTTTTTTATCATTGAAAGGATAAATTTATTTCATAATTTAAAAATTTAGATAATATTCTAAATTCTAAACCTATAATTATTAACTAGTTAAACTCAAACCTGGCGCGTTATTTTAAATCAAACGTTTAATTTTTCTCCTCTAAATGTTTCCAAACTCATTTTTTATTTTTTTATTTTTTTGCGTGGATTAAATTAACTCTAGTTTTAAGTTTTTTAGTGATTAATCTAGATTATTATTCGGAGGAATGAGAGGAACTCACGCCAACATGCGCTCCACCTCGGCGCGCTGCTCCGCGGCCTCCTCCGTGTTGAGCGACTGAAGCTCCTTGAGGATCGGCGGGGTGTCGTAGTCGTCCCCGTCCTCCGAGCCCTCGTCCCCGGACAGCTTGCCCTTGCTGTGGCCGTTGGTGAGCGTGTGGAAGACGGGCTTGGAGTCTGCGTCCTGGGAAGGAGGCGGAGGAGGTGCAGCGGGAGACATGGGCAGGCTCTCCAGCTTGACTCCAAAGCCCGGCGGGCTGGGGTCCATGTCGTCCAGGGCCTGGATCAGAACATCTCTGGTGAGTCCCGAGTCCAGCAGGGCGCTAAGGAGCTCCTGCTGCAGGGAGGTCAGCTTGGAAACCATCTTAGAGAACATCAAAGGGTCAACATAAAGCCCGCTGCTGCTCCTGGGAGAGGAGAAGAGGAGGAAAAGTTCTCTTCTTCCTGAGTTCTGCTTGCGACACCTGCTCCGAGAAGCTGCGTGACGGACTTCCCTGTAGGAGGGGAGGATGCGTCTACTTTACCATCACGCTTTCCGAGGGCGCAGGAATATAAAAGATGGTAATGAGTGGGTTGGCTGATGTAAATCCGAGCAGAACCGGGACCGGTCCGAGCGCAGAGACGCGTGTTTACTCTGCAGCTCTGCTGCTTTTATTGGCTCCTCTTATCGGAACAACTTCCATGGACTTCGGACCCTGCAGCAGCCATAAAGTCTCTACAGAGAGGAGCTGCTGCGTTTACTCCTCCACACGAGCTGTGGTGGACAGCAGGCAGCCGCTCGGAACTCTGGGAAATAAAACAAACAAACAAACAAACAAACAACTACTTTAGTTTTAATTAATTCTGCTTCAAATTGTTACTTTTAGTTTTTATTTAAATTTTATGAGGATTTTATCACATTTAACCGAATTTTTTTAATCAAATTTTAATTAAAATTCACGAATTACACATTTATAAATAACATAAGAAAACCTTTCAACTTTATTCGTTTTATTTCTTATCTCACAAAGTTTCAAATGGGTTTAGAACATATTCATGTGTTCATAAATAAGACAAGGCTCACTCACTCATTCACTCCGGGGTTATAGGTGATACACCCGCACAATTTACGTTTGCGTCTAGGTCTAATAAAGTATTTGAAAACGTCAAAATTATTTGCATTTTTTATCCTGCAGGTTTTTAACTAACACTGCAAGTGGACAGAATGTTATAATTCATATTATAAAATAAAAAATGTGAAATTATCCGAGGATATTGATTTTGTATGGAAGTTAAATATGAAAAATAAATCTACAAGAGTCAGTAATAATATTTAAAAACACACTTTAGTTCAAATTAAAACATCTGAAATTTAGAAAGAATTACATAAATTAAATTAAATAATAATTTGATGCACTGGTTTATTTTTACAGTTTTAAATACAAAAATTAATCATTTAAATTCTTTCAAATTTTAGTTTCTGTTTCTATTTTGATGAAACTGAGCGTAACCTTTAGCTATTTAAATAAATGAACAGTCTTTTAAAAAGTTACCCCTTAAACAAAATATTTTCTCAAATTAACAAATGATTGAAAACCTAAATTAATATAATTACATTGATTTATGTTCCAAAATAAAAATTAATAGTTATAATGATCTTTTTCTTGAAGAGGATGTTGCAGGGTCAAATGAAAATAATAAAAAATTTCCATGCAGCGTGTCATTCCTGCAGTGGAAATCCTCTTGGAAAAATGGTAATTACACAATTTTACTACTTATTTTTGTGTACTTAAGTGGTGCAATGAGCTGATAAACTCGGTCAAGATAACAAGGCCGCAGCTAACGAATATTTTCATTATCAGTAGCATTCTTCATCACTCCACTAAAAATTCACTACTTCATGTTGTGAAAATACTAAAAGAAACAAGCGAAAGCTGAGAGAAATCCGGAGGCTGAAGGATGGAAATGAGAAAAATAAAACTTTAATCATTTCATTAATAAATCTGCTTTGTTTATTTATTTATTTGTTTATTTTAGTATTTATATAAACCCCTGTTTGGGTGTTTGCTGAGCTTCTGCTTTATTCGAGCTATTTTTTCATCTTAAATCATCCTGTTGAAGCAAACAAACAATACGGTTCACACATGAGGCGTGAATCCTTTTTAGATCATTACCAGATTTATTCTAGAGCCTCAAAACTGACCTGGGAGCCCATTTAACCCTTTAAATATTCAGATTTTGCTGACGCATTCCAGCAGAAAAGACCAAGTTACCCTGCGAGGATGCACGTTCTCAGAAGTTTTCCACCTTTTTTCAACGTAATCAAACATAAAGAACTTTGACTCCAAACAAAAACGGAGAAACAGCTGACCTCTTCTGTGGATATGATGCTTTCTGGGCCAATTATTGCTGAGACACAACTCTTTTTAGTGTAGTATCAATGTGGTTGATCATTAGTAATATGCCTTAAACTTATTACCCATAATGGTGAGACTTTGACGGTTTTAAGTGCAGAAAACTATGTATGCAGCGCAGAAGACGTTCCTGCAGACAGACTGCAGGCCTCTGCAGGAACGTTCATCGTTTTATTAGTCGGGTTTTTATTAATGGAGCTTTTTGTTCTTGTGCAACTTCGCTGCTGTTGCTGCTGCTGCTGGTGTCATTTCACAGATTACACAGAGGCTTATCTCCTGCTACTATTGTGGCTCGACGTTTCCTCCTGATGCACGCCTCGCTCTGCTCTGTAGCGTTTAAATTACTCAGGGGAAGCAGGTGGATTCCTGCAGCTCTGTCCCAAGCAGCTGTTGTTTCTGCGGCCTGGAGAGGCGGACTGATTCAGTCGATAACTGAAAATAAACGTCTCATCTGTCGTCTGACACCTTTTGATTGTTTTCGTGTAAAAAAAAGGTGGAATGCGATCATCCTCTTCTCTTTTCCTCAGAAGTCCTGCAGAAAAGTCTCACACCCATGCCAACACGCCTGGGACTTTTCACCCGTCTCGGTTTGAAATGTGTCAACCATTAACAACAAATCATAACAAACAGTGAAAACAGTTTATCCAGAACATCACGGCTGTTGGGAAAGAAGCCGGAGCGCTGGAGCGTGGACAGGAACAAACTCTGCCCGTCACCGTTTCAGGCGGGTTGAGCAACCACCTGCGGTCCAGACCCGACTCACCCACACATTTAAATTTTATTTAAAAGCTCTGCGCGAGGAACGTGTTTTAGTTAAGAAACTTTGCCGTGGAGTTTTAAGGGCATTTATGTTGGGATGAAGAACAAACAGATGGATTTAAAGGGAAATAAAACGATTAGATCAGATATTTGTTACTTTATTCTAAAATCTGTATAATAGCACAGTTATTTATTAAGAACATATATATTAGGCTATTAATACTTTTTAACCAGTTAGGTATAAAACACGGACATTAACTAGAATTCAAACAGGAATTATTCTGTCTAGATCGACACCAAAAAACCAAAACCTTAAAAATAACATTGAATTTCATCTTTGTTGGGCACATGTGACCAATCTTCTCTGCTGAACAGCTGATTCTGGATTTGACTCCTGATAGGTGTCGTTTACTGGATTTGTTTGCTGAAAGTGTGTGACAAACCCACTCTGAGAGGGCCTGAGTGGTGAGATTTCCTCCAGCCATGACAGAATCTGTCCCAAATCATCACACTGCCTCCACCTAAAGCTGCCATCAACTGCAGCAGCAAACAGCTCAACGGCTTCAGCTTCTTCTTAGTTTCTCTGAGGAACATTTAGCATCTATGATAAAACCTAATTACCTAACCATACCCTCTGATGCTTCAGTCAGCAGATTTTAGTCCGACTGAATGAAAAAAAAACTTAAATAACCACAAACTTTTTAACTTTTGGGAAATTGGGCTGCAGCACTGTGAGAAGGTTGCAGGTTCCACTCCCTACTGTGGGCTAACAGTGTATTAGCACGTTCTCCTCATGCACGCGGCGGTTTCCTCCAACAGCCCAGAAACATGTATGTTGAGTTGATGGGAGACTCTAAATTTTCCCCAGGTGTGTGTGTGTGTGTGTGTGTGTGTGTGTGTGTGTGTGTGTGTGTGTGTGTGTGTGTGTGTGTGTGTGTGTGTGTGTGTGTGTGTGTGTGTGTGTTTGTCTTGGTTAGTGTCCCTGTGATGGACTGGAGACATGTCCAGGGTTCCCTCGCTTCTGCACAGCACTACCCTTCTGAGACTCTGGAGCGAGTAAATTACATTCCTTTCTTTAATATCGCCTCTGAAAGGTAAAGTTTTGTCACTAATGATGTCTAAACTCAGCTTTTGAGCCAGATTTACAGCTGGAACTATAAAGATCTCCTCAGACAGGTGTTCAAGTTTCAGGTGAGTCCGTTTAAAGAGCAAGTCGCCCCCTACCAGATTCTTAATCAACTCCTACTTCCTGTTTGAAAAATGCAACAAATGAGGTTGCCCTAGCAGACCGAGAGGGCGGAGCCGCTAACAAATACACACACACACAGGCTCACAACGACATTGTGACATCAAAATGTACCATCTAACGTCATTGTGTACCTCTTAGCCAATAGCGATGGCAGATTTTAATTCAAATGCAGTGCAGAGTTTTTACCTGACAACGGCACAACACTGACAGTTTTAGGCAGAAAATTAAATTTTTAACTAAAATGCTAAACTATTGACTACACGTGTGTCTGCAGCACGATTAGACACACATTTATACAGTTTATCAGAAAAATACTTCGTTTGGGGGTGACTTGCTCTTTAAAGTGGAGGAAACATCAGACAAAACCTTCGACCTTTGAATGTTTTTTCACTTAAATGAAACGTTTCAGCTTTTTTTGTTCAGTGAAAACAAAAAGTTCTCATAATTCTGTGAAAAAAACAGTAAAAGAACAAAAATCTTGTTTGACGTGTCTGCTGCATGCTTAATTGGTGTTTAAAGATCGAGTGAACGTGATCGTTGTGATTCCAGCAGGCATTCGCCTGCACACGGTGTCCTCACATCGAGCATCTGGACCTCCTGGTCCTGCCAGGCTCGGCGTGTGCTTGGCTGCCTGTGGGTGTCTTCGCTGACCTTCCTGAACCTCGTGTTCTTTGTGAATCCCACAGACAGCTTGGTGAACAGACCGGAACGCTTAAAGTGTCAAAAAAAATGTAAAAAGGGCAAAGGCTCCGGTGTTTGTGCGTTAGCTTCAGGAAACCAGAGGCTATGTGCCGTTCCACAGACCGATCTGGACCTTACCCCCGACCTGAACCCTTCGACCGCTCCTCCGCTCACCTCAGACGACTGCTCCTTGTCATGCCTCAAGTGCAGAAAACATATTTGCTTCATTATCGTGACGTTCAGAATCAAATCCAACGATTACAGCGAGGAAACTTTAGCTAAAGAGAGCTAAGCAGGACAAGGTCAGCGTTTAAAGTCACGCGAGTCCAATGTAAAGGGATTCATCCGCCTGGCGGAAACGTTTCTGACTGACGTTTATTAGATAGCGTCATGAACAGCTTCAGTTTGGAGAAATAAGCCGTGATCCCACTAGCGGAAGTTCAGAGGCCCAAAAGACCTTTTCCATGCTGTAGTTCTTTTTTAAAACACAGAGCAGTTTTGTTTACCTGTTTTCCCGCTACGTTTCGTTAACGAAACGTAGCGGGAAAACAGGTAAACAAAACTGCTCTGTGTTTTAAAAAAGAACTACAGCATGGAATTAGAGATACAACACAGCAAGAACACACCTAAGATGCTCAAAAGACCTTTTTCCGGGCCATTTTCAGGAACCACCAGAGTACCTGAACAGGGTAGGTACTCGGTGGAGTCGCCGAGCCGAACCTTTGGTTAACTCCCTTCTAAAGTTTGGTTTATGCTTGACGCATTCACTTTCCGCGCGGTGATGCGGCTCGCGGATGGAACGCACTTCACAACTCGCAGTGTTTATGGTTCCTGCGGCTTGTCTCTGCGGTGAGCCAATACTCTCCCAAACTGTAGGGGGCAGCATGGAGCTCTACGGCATGCATCCAACACTACACCATAGTAGAAGTAGAAATGACTGTTTACAACATGGCATTTCAGCATTTTTTAACAGCGTTCTCGTCTTTTCCGACAGTGCGAGCTATTTCTCTCCCTGAGAGCTGAATCATACAAATGTCGGTTTTTACGAACCTCTGCCATACTAGTTCTTGCCGGTCCACCATGTTTTTCCACGTCCGTCCGTCCGCGTGGTTAGAAATTTTCCGAGGTGCGCGTTGCGGAAATTCTGGGCCGTGCGGAGACGCGGTGGAGGGGCGTGGTTGTTAAAATGACGCAAAATGATGCAACTTTTCCGCGCGGAGCCGTGCGGACCTCGTGGACGCGTCAAGCATAAACCAACCTTAACATCACACAGCCACTCTCCTGGTCCTCCAAATAGATTCGATTACAGCGTACTTAGACAGAATAAAACTTATCAGTGTCCGTGTGCGCCTTTTGGTGCTGATCGGTGACATCGCTCACTGCCGAAACAAGGCGTTTTGCCGATGTCCTAACAACGTCCTAAAAGGGCTGAGTTTGTATGGCGTAGAAGACTACAGTAGGGGCGTTAAATTATGATCAATGAGATGTGATGATTCTATGTAAATATAGAATATCAACCTGATTGATGTTTGAATGTTTAGCCAGAAGAATTTAAAGTTCTTTGCTTAATCAGTGACCATAAACACACTTCGTAGTAATTCAGAGTCAAGTATGTAATTACAATAAACTGTAGATGAAAAACTGACCATTTCTGGACGCTACAATGGAGACAGCAGCGGAGAGGACCGAGCCTTCGGATGTCCCGGTCAATTTGCCCCCTTCCCAGAATTTTCCTGGAACTCCAAAAGAGGAAACACATCTTTAGAGCCTAAGTCCCTCAGAACTCCAAGTCATGGTCAAAGTGCATTACTAACATCATTGTTTTACAAACCATCACTTTTGCCTTCTGGCTTTTGGTCCATCTTTGTTACAATCTTGACCGACGGTCCTGAGCTTTGTGTAAGGAACAAATTCAAGCTGGCAGGAGGCCCCTGGGTCAATCCAGGACAAGCTGGAGAGGTTACATCTGTCATGATGTGAGGGTGGAGATGGCGGACCAAGTGTGGTGGAGGGTTCAGGAGGCAGGAAAGCAGGCACAGATGAAAAAATAAAAATGGTTTAATGGTGGAACGGGAGAGACGGGACAAAACACGCATGAACAAACAATGATCCGACGAAGACAGCAACAAGGAGGGAGGTATAAATACACAGGGAAATCAGGAATACATGGGCAGAGTAACGAGGGACAGGTGAGAACAATAAGGTAAATCAAGGCAGGAGAGACACAGTCAGGGAGGCCGGGGCGGATCATGACAACATCTCCAGGCTGGCCTGGGAATGCCTTGGGACAATGGGAAATAAGGTGTGTGACATCTTCCCACCAATTTTTATAGTTGACTATTTTGTTCATTTCGTTTAATTAAAAACACTTTAACTCCATAGGGTGTCTGGGCTCTCCCTCAGAGATAGGGTGAGAAGCTCGGTCACCCTGGAGGGGTTCGGAGTAGACCCGCTGCACCTCCACATCGAGAGGAGCCAGTTGAGGTGGCTCGGGCATCTGATGCCTCCTGGACGCCTCCCTGGGGAGGTTTTCTGGGCACGTCCAGTTTGGAGGAGAGCCAAAGTTAGGCCCAGGACATGCTGGAGGGACTATGTCTCTGTCCAGGGAACGCCTTGGGATTCCCCCGGTGGAGCTGGCCCAAGTGGCTGGGGAGAGGGAAGTCTGTGCCTCTTGACTTAGGCTGCTGCCCCCGCGACCCGGCTCAGGATAAGCAGACGGTAATGGATGATACTTTAAGTGTGAGTAAATCTAAAACCATAATTAATTAATTTAGTTTAATTTTCAACATTTCTGAAAGAGCGTTGCATGCTGGGAAATCTGCTCCATCCAACCAGTTATCAGCGGGCTGAATCGTACGCACTAGATTGTTCCTATAACATTTTTAATCCACTTCTTCCACCATTGTCACGAGAAAACATAAACACCTTGCCAGATTTTAAAGTTTAAAATAATTTAAAACATCTTTTGCAATTCTTTTACTGTCTGTGATTTTACTGTCCGGCCTTAAACACGAGTCTTCAGATTTCAGCTCGCGGACTGGTTTGTCGTGTTTTAGAAAGGACAAAAGTAAAGCATTTGGCCCCACCCCTGAGGCTTTTTCTGTTTCTGTTTTTTATACATCTCTCCGGTCTCACCGTGTCTATTTGGACAGTCATCGTTCCTGTCCCCAAAGGAAAAACTGCTCGGTCACTGAATGACTCCATGCCATGACCTCATTATTGATGAAGTCATTTGAGGACATTGTGGAGGGAGTCCTTGTATCCAGGGTGAAGGGTCATGCGGGGGTGGAGGATGCAAAGGGAACTTAAATGTTTGCTTCATCCGGTCATCCGAACTCGGATCATGGACCACTGGTTCAGGTTTTCACTGACTGCTGTCACAATTTACAGATGATTGTTTCTAAAACCAAAGGGACAGTCACTGGTTTTAGAAGACACATGGCACAGCCACCAGTATAAATAACTGGGGCTGTTCATGATGACCTTTGACCTCAACATGTACTCGCTTTGTAAGAAGGCTCATCGGTGAATACACTTGTGCTGTAAGTGCAGCCCTAAGAGTAAAACAAATGTTCATCATGTCTGATATTAGCCTACAAGTAGGTTAGCTAAAGGGCTAGATAGTGTTAACGATTCAGCACTAAGATTTCCCAGCATGCCATTCTCTTCCTAAAATGTAGAGAATTAAACAAAAGGTTTTTTAGCTTGATTCACAATTAAAGTATAGGGAGCCAGGGGCGGCGTTAGGCCCGGCTACTTGGGCTGAAGCCTCGGATGTTTCATGAAAAGCCCCGGATCTAAATCGTGGAAGTAACATGCAGTACCAAAGTCCAACAGAGAGGGAGCAGCTGGCAGTAGTCTGTATACAGCCTGCCTGAGCCTCCACCACTGAAGAAGAAGCCCTTCAGCAGCCGGCTTCTTCTACACTCTCTGCCTGAAACACATGAGTGAAGATGGACATAAGGATGATTTTTAGACAAAAAGTACAACGACAGAACCCCAGCTTTGATGATACTGGTGTTGACTCAGGTTTGTGAGTCTTATTTGAAAATATTTTTTGTGCTGCTGGTTTGCCTAAAGTTAGCTTATCAGGTAAAGTGGATGGAGAAAGAAAGGGAATATTTACTATCATCTCATGAACTGGGAGGAGTTTTCTTGTGAGCCTTGCAGGCTCAAGGGCGCCAGATTCCGGTTAGAAATTGTTTTGGGGCCAGACAGAGATAATTTCCTCTCTGTCTTACAGTTTGTTGGTCCTCAGCCTCTCAAAATCCCAATAATGGACATTAAACTATCCCAATCCGTGCTGATTCGTCCACTCTATCCTTGATGGCATCCATCTGTTGGGCCAATAATGAATCTCGGCCAAAGTCCCAAGCTTACGATTCGTCTCGACAATTATTTGATTCTGTGAATTCACAGCACGGTGCAATCCATCTCTGAGCTCCGGGATCAGGCCAATATTCCTCGACAGCTCGTTAATTTTCCGGTAAGCCAGGTAGCGTCCAAGGCCAATGAGCAGGAAACCTGACACCAACACCACAAATATCCACACGTCTTCAGAGTCCTCCACAGACAGCTGAGAAAGACAGACCAAGTTCCACTGTTTCCAGGAGTCCATGATGTGTCCAACTGGGTCTGTCCCGGCAGGGCATCTGGGAGCCTCTTCTCCCGTTCTCATCGTTGAAAAATGTTATCAATCGCGTTGAGAGACCAACTGACGAGATCCATTTTAGTGAATTTCAGTTTCCAGAAAAAAAGCAGAAGCAGCCGTGCACCCAGCACACACAGACAGACAAAGGCCTTGAGGATAAGATATGGAGGAGAGGAGGAAAAAAGCGTCTGCACCCTCCAAGAGCCGGAAGAAAAAGAAAGAGAAAGAAAGAAGAAAAACACAATTTTACAGGGATTTTCATCATTTTGCGTATTTTGTACCTCTATGAGCATGTGACGCCGAC